AGTGATTGACTTTATTCTACTTTTTTTTTCTTCCCTCAAAAACTAACTAGGTTTTCAAGAAAATCTTGACCAGTGTTCAAGTAATCTACATAAATTTGTCATACAATCAGTGCTATGATATTCATAGTTGTAACTTGGGGGAAGATGGATGGGTTAACAATCTCTTAACAATAACAGTGAAATATCCTGGCACAGTCCCTTTATGTATGTAAAGACGTATCTAAGTAGTCTACATATACGGTACAGTGTGTTTTTATGTAGCTTTGATAAATTAATGTATCTGTTAAAAATGTACCCTCCTTCCCCCATATTGACTTATACTAGAGTATAACACATTCATTGTACAGCATCTATGTCCCAATAACAGATTATTTACAGTAATTATTAGGTCAGCCGAATAGCAAATTTGCTCACTAATTAACTACTTGCTGACCAGTACTTCTGGACTTACTGTAATAATTTTTTTTTCTCATTATTATGAATGTTTTTCAGGAGAAAACTGAGTCATTGTTGTTACAAAATAAGTTAGAACGACAGAAAAGAGAGGTAAGAAGCACCAATCTTTCTTTTATTTGAATTGATTTGCTCACATTATCATATCAGAAATAAGGAAAGATTGTGATCAGTTATTAATTATAGGTCAACATCGATGGGTGTATGATAGCTAATCAGCGTTCATATTTCTTCAAAATTCTGTCAATTTTACATACATCGACATTGTGGCTAACAAGTACATGTATATGTAACTACTCGAATAAACATCACAATGCCAAGATATGATTGGATTGATTGTATTTAGAATCGCTATATGCTAGTTACAGGGCCCAATTTTGTTTCACTACAGTTGCAAGTAGTACGTCTTAGATGTTGTATCACATTTACACATGGTTTTTGATGGTGGTTTATTGCTACATTGTATAATTAATTTATTTCATCTATACATGTAGAACCATAGACGGAGAATTGTGAGTGCAACACAGTTACAGTCTTGGTGGAGGGGATCGAGAGTGAGACAAAACAGAAGACATAAAGAAAGAGAAGACTTTGATGTGGAGTTACAACATTACCATAAATCCAAAAGATACATAACAAAAAATACATTGTCAACTCTCTATCGTCAGATTTTATATTTTTACAAAGAAAGAAAAGACTCTGATAGATTGGTAAATATCCTATGTTAAAATGATAACTATCGGTAGCATATTATTTGATATCAGCTGTACCAGATTTCACTAATTCAAGGCATACTTTACGTCATAGCAGAATTTCTAGTTTTGCAATGTTGACAATGAGGCCAAATTGTATCATTTAATAGCTGTGATATCTTATGGTCAGTCATTTTCTTGGTCAGGAATCGTGTGGTCAGTAATTTTCTAGTCATACTGAAGTTCTCAGTTAAGGTAGCAAGACTATTATTTGCATACTTGTTTTCATCTTCCAGTTGTGAGATTTTCAAGCTTGTTTATCGGCACAATCAATTTGTTTTCCCATCAAGGTCTGTTTTAACATGTGTAGGGACATCCAAATGTGTAAGGCTATTGGAAACCAAAAAAATAAAGGAATGGGATAGCTATAATTGGATAAATTCGGCACATGAAAACACCAAAATCAATGATTTTTTTCAGTGGCTGTGTGACCTTGTGTCTGACACATTCATATGCAAATGACTAACCCGTGAAACAAACAGGGGCGGAGATAAACCACTCAAATGTTTGGAAACACTCATTGTGTGTCAGATAGCTACTGATAACACATCCTAACATTGCTTTGTCTTGAGTTTATCTTTGAAACTTATAGGCACACAGATTAAACCTGTGTTGCTGATTTTGAAAACACTACTGAGGCTGTCTTGTTCCCTTCAGAAAATCTACATTTTAACCAACTTACATGACATTCTATATTATGTTGACTTTATCACATGAAAGTTTATAGTGCATTTCATCAATTAATAAATAAATGTGAAAATCGTAATTTTCAACACAAATAATAGTCTCGCTACCTTAAATGCCATATTGTAATTATGAAACATAATTTTCGCTGACAGTATTGCCCAATTGTGTTTTGCATCTTGATGTCAAAGCTAATTAGTCTAAATTGATTATATTTTGTGTTGTCATCATCCCTTGTAGGTTTCATTGTGTCAGTTACTCATTAAGCATCCTAATGTCTCACTGGAATTCCTCCTGGATCAGCCAAAGTTATGGGTTTACCAGACTGGACAAATTTTACTTCATTGTTGCCAGTAAGTATTTTATTTTTGTACATTAAATTAATCAGTGTGACTCGGATGTGAAATATTTGATGGTTGCAATTTGCATGCTAAATGCAAGAAATATGTTTCAGTATGGGCGAATGATTCAGCTTCCCATTGGAGTATGTATTTGAATTTGTGCTCACACAGTTAAATAGTGTCCCGACACGTGTTCGCAAACAATCGCCTCTAATATAATTTAATATAGCCTACCATAAGTTTTAATCTGGGTGAATCGTCTAATATTGGCACCAGTGGATAACAAGAAATATTTTCACATATTGTAGGAGTCGCCAATAAAGCACATTTTATAAATAATACTGGTATACTACCAACACAACATACCCACTCCCCTAACTTTTATGAATATTCTTGAATTGCAATATCAGTTGATTTTAAAGGGCAGTGGTCGTCATGCCACACATGCGTGAGATATATGGGTCTCATATAAACAAAGATGGCGACTTTCCATTTGAAGAGCACATTGGATTATGGGCGCGACAACCACCGCACTTTAAAAACTAAACATATCACTGTTTTTACTCTTGAGTACTTGTTTCGTTGGCTGTATGTGGAAACGAGCCCTGCTGCTTTTCATTGTCATTTATAGGAAGATTAGTTGCAGAGTGAGATCCAAACAAATAAATGATTACTATAACAAGTAAACATGTTTAGTGCAAAACTAAAGCATATTGGTGATGACCAGAATTATCCCAATGCTCCCTTGTTCTTGACATTGTAGAGCACCTGGTAACTAGAGAACCTGAAAATCAATTTTAGTTACGTGGCTTGAGTAGCCTTTAATGTTCGATTACTATATCAATGTGTCTGTTTTAACCAGGCTACTAGAAACAGCAGCACAGAGCTCCACTGCGATATCCTCACCACTACGAGTCATAGAAATCTACACGAGTATAGATACTTATAGAAAGGACAAGAGATTAACTCAAATACAGACTACACAGATAGTGATTAAACTGATGTCATCACTCATTCATAAAGGTAAGAAATATTCATTTCATGTCTAGATGTTTGCTGTCTGAGATACCTTGTATGGCTTACATGTACAAGCAAGTTGTGTACTGTAAACTACTTTATTTTAGCTGGAATTAATTTTCACTGAAAAGTTTTTTTGGGTGTTATTTAAGGAATTTATTTTCACTGATTTTTCATGAATGTGAAATATAGGAAAAAAAGTATATTTGCTGAATTTTATTTTCACTGAAGCATCACTTCATCGAAAACAAATTTCAAGCGAAAATAAAGTATTCTACAGTAAATTCTAATGTGTTAATTAGCATATATTCTGTGTCTGAAAATACATTTGATCATATTGTTGATTTCATTTTTTGTCATCAATATTCGTGCAGGTTATTATCAATCAGTAATGACATTATTAAATGAGAGGGTACCCAGTGATATTGAACAGTCTCCCAACCCTCCAACTCCTATTGCCACTACTGTACTGGAACTTGTTCTCAGACCAATCAAACTTTCACAATCTTGTAAAGAAAATAAACAATTTAGGTGAGTATATGTACATTAATTTTTCGTTATTATTATAATGAGACAACTTACTGTATCATCTGCGATTCTTCACCACAATTCCTTGTTGTGAATCCTTGTAACAATTTCTGCTAAGATTCCTTGCTATGAGTCCCGGTGTCTGTTTCTATCTACATGCAATTCATTATTTCATTATTAGTTGCTGCGATTCCGTGTTATAGATTGAATATTGCTCAATCAGTTGCGCATACGTCAGCAACACAGGTGTGTTTATGATCAAAATAAGTCATATTTTAATGATTGTAGTTCACATGCGCTCTATTGGAGATGTACTTCTAATAAAGCAAATATATGGTGAATGGATGTCCCATCCTGTGTTGTATACCGATATATCACATGATATCATGCCTACTCTGACATATCTTTTTATTTATAGAAATGTTGTATTTGAAGGTCTATGTCAGGATATATTCTGTCCAAGTCTTACTGATCAGATTGGATTATATTTACTGCCGGCATTAGCTTATGGAAAATATCCTTTCCCGTTTGTGGATTTCTTGCATTGTCTGATCCCACAGGATACCATGGAAACAAACCAGTCCACAGATACGGGTCTGGAACACCTTACAGTGTGGGCATCGCCATGGTTGCTCTATTCAGTTTTGTTATTAGTTGAGCCAGTAGCAGGTGAGTCACTAAAATTTAAATTTACACCAACTGTAATTGAGGATTTTCACCTAAGATTTTACTCAGAAGGCTCAATAAGTATGATTAAATTTGAACTCAATGTCGCTACAAATTAAGTCCTGTGAGAGGACGTGCTGATGAGACTTGTACTTTGAAATCAATGAAGTGGATGGAAAAGTCTGCTGCTTTTCAATATTGCTGGAATGGCACTAAAACCATGGTTACCATATGTTATGAATAAATTTATGCGTCATTTTCAAAAATGGTAACTTTTTGCTTGTTACTTTATCCAACATCCTTGCATACAAATTATGTATAAGCTTCACAGTTGTGTTACTTGGTATTAGTGTTACACCTTCCCAACTGTCCTAAAGTACCTGTGAAATGCAAGCTACTTTCTCGCCCAAGATCATTTATTGTTACATCAATATTATTATTTTTTATGTTATTAAGTACAAAATATTTAAAGTGAAAAAATTGGTTTCAAACTCAATCTACCCTGGTATGCCAATTGCTCATAGACTGATGTATTCCATCGTCTGAAAGTAAAATGTAAAAAAAAAAGATTCAAAATTAAAATAAAAAGAGAAAATGTTTTAACATTCTGAACATTGAATCATATCAATGAAATAGAGAAATAGTAAAAACAAATGATATAATGAGTCGATTTGTAAATCACAGTAACTAATTCATAGCCACATGCGAGTGAATTGACATCCTGACATCCTGAAATAGGTGAATGCGTCGGGTCGGAAAGCCAAAACTGTTGACTGTTTTAGGATATGTGGATGTGGCTACAACATGAGAAAGATCTCAAATTTACTGGAATATGAGTCTATATATACTGTCCTTTTCAGTGGAACACAAATCCAAAAGGGGGGAATGTGTTGGTGGGCATTTCACAGGCACTTTAAGCTTACTGGGAGGCTACGATTTGAATATCTACTTGTCAATAACAATGCATCTTTGAATTTAAAATGAATGTAAATGTTTGTGAAACACATCATTCAAGTTTGCGTAGAAGTTCTGTTTCATCCTACATCTTGTTGGGTCAATTCTAATATTAAAGTACTGTGGAATACTTTATTTTCGCTGGAATTAATTTTCGCTGAAAAGGCTTTTTGGGAGTTTTGTATGGAATTTATTTTCACTGATTTTTGATGAGTTTAATGTGAAATATGGGGGAAAAAAGTATTTTCGCTGGATTTTATTTTCACGGAATCATCCCTTCAGCGAAAATAAATTCCAAGCGAAAATAAAGTATTCTACAGTACTTGTCCAATCGTCAGCAGGCATTGGTGCATTTGCAAGCGATTGAAATTCAGCATTAAGGTAGCGAGAAGGGAAATTTTCACTTTTTTCTTGATTTTTCAAAAATTGATAAAACGTTTACTTTAGACCTTGATACATCATCCCAGGTTTACAAAAGATCGAAATTGCGAAATAACGTCGCTCAAATCAGTGTTTTAAAACGCTAGCAGAAAAGACTACAACTGCCGTTTGCATATTGTTTATCTTTGAAAGGGTTTAAATGATAACATCTTATCTGTATACTCCGTTGTTGACGATTCTGATATAACGGGTGATAAGCTTCCAGTTGCAAACAATGAGTGTTTATCTAACGTCCATTGTCAGCATTATTGTTAGTCAAGACTTCGTCGGAGAAACATGGCCATACAGTACTCATTTCGCCCAACCTTCCGCTTTTACATCGACCGCTTAACGCTTAATTTCCGACCATGCGGTCTTGTCCGACCGGAAACCGACCGCATTTTAATCGCGTTTTTTTTTTTTTTTTTTTTTTTTGGCTCGCTCGCTCATTGAAAACACCGACCGCTCGTCCAAACACTGATCACTGGCGCAGCAGGGGTGGTCGAAATGGTGGTTTTGATAGTAAAGTGTGAACGTACAACTAACTAGTATTAACTATTATTAAATTCTGAACGGCACTTCAAATCTAATAGTTGTATGACACTTGTATCGTGAAAGCAACTGAACTGGGACCTCTTGTTACGTGTTTTGGGTGCTTGTTCTAAATGTAATATGTTATTTTATTTTAATGAGACAATCACGTGAAAAAAAACATAGGTAACTCATTTTGACAGAGCAGAGAAACGAGGAAATGTTAATGATTAATTCCAAAAATAACGATACCGAATCCATGTC